CTCGGAACCCCCGGGCGGCGGGGGCGGGGTGGAGCGAGCTTCACCAGTTGAACTCGCTTCACCAGTTGAACTCGCTGGCTTTGATCCTCGTGGTTCTCCTGAGGGAAGGGACCGGCGACGACCTGGAATTCGCGGTTTCCCCAAGCAGAGAGGCCGCTCGGTCCAACGCCCCGGTTCCCTCTTGGGGCGGCCGGGATTTAGGGGTTCCTCCCCTGGCCGAGCTAATCGCCCCCCCCCGCCCATAAAGTGGCAGAAGCGTCCGGGGTGGTTCAAGGTCCTGTCCTGGGACTGTGGAAACTCAGTTAAACCTCTCAAAAGGGAAGCCTGCCACCGGTGTTAAGTAGGATCCATGACAAAAGGGTGTTGTTTTTTTTAAAGAAAAAGTCTGGACAAAACTAGGATTATTTTACCGTGTCATAAGTGTTACATGCTAAATGCCCAGAGTCGCTGGCCAGCATATAAATGTAATGCATTATTATTATAGCAGGGACCAGGATCAATGAAATCTCCTAGTGGTTTATGATGCAGAATATTCATTACACTGACTTAGATGGCTTTAGATAACAAGCTTTGGTGGTCGGGGGTGAATGTGGGATAAGTGAGTTCAAACAACCTCTTGGAATAGCTGAGATAATTCTCTCCTTCCTTCCCCTCCTTTAAATTAGTGGGGAAAAGTGGCTTGAGAAGAATTGACATTAATTTTTAAATGACAAATTATTATAAAAAGACTTCCTTGATTTCTATATCAAATTGTATTGCATGACTCCCTTTTTTTTATGCCAATGCCATGGCAATGTTAATGTGGCACAATGATGGATTTGAGATTGCATTTCTGGAAAACACGCTGCTTTTCCTAAAGAAGGCACAGCTGAAATGCTCCTTAAATTTCTGCCTTCTATTATGAGTATTTATTCCATTTTTTGTTTGTTTGTTTTGCTTTTTTAAATAATGGCAAACTTGATGACCTGGCACTGTTATTGGAAAGGTACCATTGTTGATTGGACAATTCTGTTTCACATGAAGAAGACTGCTAAGCCTGATTTATTTACAAAATAATAATAAAGATGCAAATAGTCTTGTTCTTGTTTGCCTCAACTTTTGTTTTCCCATAATAATAAGCAGCTAAGGCATTCTGAGCCTTCCATCATAGCCCTGCCAATATTTATGGCACTACTTGAATTAATCTAAAGTAATGGCTGTGATTTGATTAAATATAAACAGTACTGAATTCATTTGGATTACCTAAAAGTAAATTAGGAAAGCTTAACTATTATTTCTGCTTTTGTAGCAGTAAATTCCATTAAAATCCATGGGAATCTGAGGCAGATACATAGCATTGGCCAGTAGATTAGAAAATAGCTGTAGCAGATAACCCTTGATGGTCAAGAGATACTGAGCAGCCTCTCATTAATTTATCCTGAATTCAGACATATCTTTTAAAGAACTTGTTTTTGAACACAGTGGTCAAAGATTAATCTCCGAATTGAATCATTTCAATCTTACATCTAAGAAACACAAAATACATTTTCACATTCTGAATAATAAATTTATAAAATTCATTGTCATGGTATAGTTACTATACTGTACTGTACTGTACTAGAATGACAACTAGCTCAGAGAGTTTTAGAACAGTTTGTTCTAAGGAAGATTATTAGACAATAAGGTCGTTATAGATATATCTTCAGGTTCAACACCATTATTTCTCTGGGTGTCCTCTGATGTAAAATGAGAGCGGGAAATGCTGATAAGTTTTCTAGAGCCAGCAGGAGGGGCTGGTTGGTAGTGGGAAGTTGGATTCGTTGGACTGTTCATCTGATTCAGCAGTTACAATGGCCTGTGATTTTGAATCTGAAAACAAGACAGCTCACACACTTTCACTTGTGAAATGGGGGGTTTGTGCCAAAATTCTTATTTCAAAAGAATCATGTGTATGACTATTCTTAGTGGAAGATCCTGTAACTCCTTCCCCCAGCTCACCTCCTGATTTGGGAGCAACCAGTAGCCAAAATTGCATTTGGGGATCCTTTTGTTCATTTACTCACCAGTTTATAACCAATGTGTTGTGGGGGTTGTGGCCCTGGTGTCGTTCTGCTGGAGAAGGAACAAAGAGAAGGCAGAAGCAGCTCTCAGAGCCTTGAATCACTTAAAAAGCAGCAAGTGCCTCCCACCCAGATCCAAGTGACCCATTACATGATTTTCAAGCCCTCTGTAGATACATCAATCATTGCAGTGTGGCTTTCCAGCTTTCTCTGCATGTGGAGTGACACTGCTCAGTGCTTCAACCTATTAACACTTGATTTTTTTAAAAAACTAAGCCTGTGAACTCAGAAGCAAATCAGGTACAGTCTAAGCTAACTGTACATAGGACTGCAGTCTTTACTGTCTAAATAATGGATCCAATAATAATAATTCTGCGGAAAATAACCTTTTGTTTTCAGATGGTTCATGCTTCTGCTGCAGCAGGTATAGCCCAGAAAAGGGAAAAAAGGGAGTGCCTGTGCATCTTTAATTGCTGCCATAATAAGCTCTTAAAGCTTGTGAGAAAGCTAACAAGGCTAAGCCACTTTTGAGTTCCCAAGGCGATCGTGGTAGGTAGGTTGGTCAATTATTCTAAGAAAAATCATAGGTTGTAAGGAGAGGTTAGGGCCATTAAGAGATGCCCCAAAGGTGCTGATGATCTCTTTCTACCACATACATGGTCCCTTTCGGCCTACTATTATAGAATATGATAATTTTGTGTAATTAGAGGTGACTGTTCTCCTCAACTCCCAAATCAAGGTTGCCTCGGTTGTTTATTGTCCTCTGCAGCACGCTTGTTGCCCGGTCGCTCAGACTTCATGTGAACAAATGGCAAATGCGGAAGTGAGCATTCCTGTAGGAGATGTGGTGGTTGTGCCAACTGAAGGAACGGAGGGGGGAAATCCAGAAGATACCAAAACCCAGGTCATATTACAGCTGCAGCCAGTGCAGCAAGGGTGAGTGACATGCCGGTAGCAGAACAAAACGTTCCCAATACTGTACTTTTGCCCAGATTGAAGGTTTAGTGGAGGACTATTCCAAGGAGAGTTGAGAATGCAGGCATAAAAGAAGATGAAGCTCTGTCATTTAGCAATTGTGCAGAATTAATTAATAAAACAAATATATCAAACTAACATTGATAGGTCTAAAACAGCAGGTTATTGCCATATAAACTGACTGCAGTAAAATAATCAAAGCTGGACAATTAAAATGAAGATTTTGGCTTGCTATTGAAAAGTGCCAAATAACTTCTCTGGGTCAAAAATTCCATAAATAAGTGTCACCCCTTCTGATGCCAGGGGCACATAGATTGAAGTGAGGGAGATGTTCTTTCATGTAACCGGTTTTCAAGCAATTGTATCATTTGTGTATTTATTACCACTTTTACAGCAGAATTTATCAAGAGGGCTCTGAGACTAATGCAGCCGTGATGGCTGTAGAAACACATACCATACACAAACTTGAAGATGGCATTGGTGAGTTTCTCAGTGATAACAATGCATCAATTTCATGTTAGCTCAATTGCATGCAATCTAATGGGGTGCTTTGGAAAAAGCCTGCACTCAGCATGGCGCAGTGGTTAACATGGCGCTGAAGTAGGACCAGGAAGACATGATAAACTCAGACTCACTGAATGACTTTAATATAGTCACTGTCTCTTAATCCAATGTACAATCCTGGGTTAACATTGTGAGGACAAAATTGGAGAAGGGAGTACTACGTGCATTGCTTTTGCTTGAAAACAAAACTTTGCTAAGCAGAGGCAGAAATGGGGTGATCCTGAAGCATAACAATTTCTGCTTTCCTCCCAACAGTTATTTTCATGGATGCTGCTTTTTTCCCACTCCATATAATTAAGGGAAATGCCAACATTTCCACATATTTGCATAAGATGGAATAAAGTCTGTAGCACCGTGAAAAGCTAGAGTCCTTGGAAAAACTGTTCTTGTACTAAGAGGCCTTGGGAGGTTTTTTTTTATAGTCTCTTCCTGTGAAGGTGTTGTCTAAAGGTTCATATTTCTGAAGCTCAACTATAGACGCAAGGCAGTTCTTGAAGTAGTCTAAGGCAAAGTGACCACTGTTCAAATTTCATTTCCTGTCTTCATCTCTACAGAATAACTGGAAGTTTTCAAATTATATCTGACATTCAAGAATGTGAGGATGTGGGGGTAATATCCCAGTTCAAACACACTTTTCTAGGTAGAAGCTAGCACTTTGCACTTCTATTATAGTTTAATTTTGGTTTGGTGCACAGTGTGAGTCTAGCTACTGTGATTTGTGTACCATGATTTATGGCTGAGTTCAACAAATCAGACCATGTATTAGTACAATAAGCACGAACCCAGTCCACGAGAAACCCTGTCTTGTTAATGACGACAAGGAAACAATGAATTGTGTTGTCTTCCTTCTGTACTCATAACTCTTTTGGTTATTATGAAACTGTACTCTGATGCTTGCCCAAATACGTATATGTTATTTATGCATCCACAGTAGTTGTAAAGATGAAACAAACTATACAGCTTTATCAGTGTCTTTAAGAAAGAAGTGATGGCTTAGCATGTGGTTTTCATGCATTAATTAATTATTAAGCAAGCAAGCACAGTAATAAGCTTGCTTGCTTAATGCAAGAGTATCCCGAGTTCAGGCTTGGTATCTGAAGGTTAAAAAATATAGGATGAGAAAGGGACCTTTTCAGCCTTTGGGGTAGACGAGTCAGTGTTGAGGTCTCTGCATGGCTCTCAAATGTTTCCCTGTTTCCATCTGCAGATGCCAGCGCCATTGAAACCAGTGAGGAAATTGAGATTGTCTATCCCATTACTTGTGGAGATAGCAAGGCCATCTTGCTCTGGAAGAAATTTGTTTGCCCAGGAATCAATGTCAAGTGTGTTAAGGTGACAGCATGGTGAAAGTGACTTTGCCAGCTCGCTTCTCTTTGTTCTGTGTTTCTGGGTTTATGACAGGAACTTTTGTTTCCTTTGAAAAATATTCCACTTTCCACGGGATATACACAGGAGTATTTGGTACCCATAGAACTCTTAGCAATAAACTAATTTGTTTAGGCGGCAGATTAGAAGGTAATGCCTTTATTTCATTCTTGCAAGGAAGAGAACCCTCCATGAGGTGTCCACCACTGTAGGAAAAGTTGAGTTTTACATCTACCATAGTAGATTTTTGTTTTCTTATGAGAGTTTCATCTACAACACATAATTGGATGGCCAAAATTTTCCCACTTATCCACCTCCATTTTTATCCCCAAACAGTTCTACACACTGCACAGTGTCAGCCTGGAATTACAAAGCCCAGGTTGTAAGATATTCCAGCAGTTCTGGGAAAAATGAATAGGAAATGTTGGAGTTTTCCTTCAGTCGCCATTGCCTATTGGTTTGGTAATCAAACTTGCAAAACGTACGTAAAAAAAAGCATGAGATATTAGTTTTAATGGAAGTAACAGTGAAAGAAACTAAGCTTACATGTGCTAAATCATGGTCTATATAATTATGGTTTGTTGAACAAGCCATAATTAGAGTTAGGGTTCACACATAATGTGAGTGAAAATAAGGTCTCCTTGGAGTCAAGATTCAACTCCAGTTGACTTCATGGGCCTGACTATGTACTTTTCTTGACAACATGAATGTGCCAATAGAAGGACTCCACAACATGCACTTGGTTTGCCTCTGCCATCTTTGGGTGGGTGGGGGGTTGTGACTTCCTAGTCTAACCTACAGACCTGAAATTTCCTGATGGTCTGCTACCCAAGGACTAGCCAGGCCTAACCCTGCTTCTTTTTTTGAGGTTGAACACAATACCTTGTATCTTTGCATAGTGTGTGAACCCAGCAGCTGTCTGATTAATCATAGGATATTCTTCACTGCTGTCAGCGGTGGGAATGAAATAAAGTTGGTAGATGATAGTGCAGCAGTTACCTACTGTATCTGGTACCTATTGATTTCACTAAGGTATTACAGGGATGTGATCAGTGAGCTGAATACTCAGTCAGCAAGTCTAATTGTCTTGTGTCTTTCAAGACTGATAGGATCAATTTCATGTTTGTGAGATCAAAAGTTCCTTCCAATCACTGAGATATACAGTACCAGCTGCATCTTCCTGTAGATCAGCCCAATGGATTACCAGGAAGGTGAAAACATGAGATTCTCTGAGCAGTGGGGTGGGGACACCTTCAGGAGGTGATTAGCAGAAAGATAGCACAACAGAAACCTAGTGCTAAGAAAGGGAAACAGAGAAACTCAAGGTCTGAATTTTCCAAAAGTTCCTTTTCTGTATCACTGTTAGGGTACAGTGCTGTTGGAAGCGTTCCTGTGCATCAGGTCAACTCTGAGAAATAAATAAATTAAAAATAAGGGCCTCTGGGCCTGAAATTGTTGAAAACAGTTAAGAAATGCTTGCCGTATCTGGGCACTGAGAATGAATTAACAAGGTCCTAGTGTGTCTTGATCACATGTATCCATGAATAATGGGAGCTGCCTTGAAGAACGGACAGTTGAATTCTATCCTTACCATGAGAAATTAATTGGTTCCTTCTTCTGTTTGATAGTTCAATGACCAGCTGATCAGCCCCAAGCACTTTGTTCACCTGGCTGGCAAGTCCACCCTGAAGGACTGGAAGCGAGCCATCCGCCTAGGAGGAATCATGCTGAGGTAACTGTCTTCTGCTGCAGCAGCCCTCATGTACCAAACTATGGTGCAGACTTCTGGGCAGAAATCTCCCCCCTCCTCAAAACTGTGGTACCTTTCATTTCCTGCCAAATAAAAGTGGTGCTGAGAGTTTGGCCCTATGTATTTTGAAATATGGATCTTTCGTGGGAGGAAATGTCCCAGTGATTTCATGGGCTGTTTTACAGTATATAGAATGTAAAGAGGAGGTTTCTGGAATAAGACTTTGATCTATACAGGTGGCTCCTGTTATTCATGGTTCCATTTCCTGCAGTTTCAAGTGTCCATGA